CCCCAGCCCTGGAGGCATTAAAAAACCATGTAGATATGGCACCTGGGGACATGGTTTAGTGGTCATAGTAGCGTTGGGTGATGGTTTGACTTGATGTTTGAGGTCTTTTCCAATCTTTATGATTCTGTGATCCTGAAATTTAGGGAGAAAATCCTGGGAGAAGGAAAGTATGATTCTTTACCTTCTCTAAACCTTTCATTAATAATTGATTCTGTTACCTCCCTACTTGGATTAAGGGTGCATATAGGCTGTCTTAATACAAAAAGACCAGGTTAACATAGTGTTGAGTTCCTTGGTCTGTCGTTTGGGATCATAGGTGGACTTTCAAGGGGCTGTAGTCTAGCCTCTTGCTCAGAGCAGAGTCAGCTGTGAGGTCAGACCAGGTTATTCAGGACTTCATTCCATCTGGGCTTATAAACCTCCACGTGCTCCACTCATGGAGCATCTCAGTGGCCCTTTGCTGAGCTCACCCCAGTCTATTGGTATCTTTCCTGCATTGTGGAACATTAAAAATCAGGTGCAGAATTCTAGGTGTGGTCTAGTGAGTGTTGAGTAAAGGAGGGTGATCTCTTCCTTCTGCCCTGGCTCTTCTGACATTGGTACAGTGCAGGATGCTGTTAACCTCTGGCATGGTGCACTGCTGGGTCATGCTCACCTTGCTCCCCTCCATCATTCCTGGTCCTTTTCCCCAGAGCTGCTCTCCAGCCAGTAAGTGCCCAAGGCTGTGCTGTTCCCAGAGTTATTTCCTTCCTGTGATGTGTCCTTGCTGCATTTCATAAGGTGCCTCTTGGCCCATTCCTGCACCCCTCTGAGTGGCAGCCCTGCCTTCCAGTGTGTTAACAGTTTCCTCCAGATCTTGGGTCATCTCCAGCCTGGTGAGAGTGCAGTTCCATCACCTCCAGGTCACGGGTGAAGAGTTAGCAGGTCCCAGGATAGGTCCCTGTAAGAACTCCACTTGCTGCAGGTGTACATGTGGAGGGTGGGTGGGCATTGATCTCTTTCCTCTTTCTGAGGATGGATGTGGCATCTGCCTTCTTGCAGTTATTGGTCATGGAAATAGGAAGAAGTCCCCATTTAAAGGTGATAGCAGTTTTGGCAGGGCCATCAGCCTGTTGTCTCAACACCTTTTAGAAAGAGCCCATCTTGTCCCATGGACTCACATGGGTTGGTTTCTCTAAGTCAATCAGTCCCTGGATTGATATTCATGTACTGACCCATCTGCTAAGTGCAGAGGCCTGTCAGGCTTTTTTGGTGAAGCCTGAGGCAGGGAATCCATGCAGTGCCCTGTCCCCACGTCACACACCCTGTTCCACAGCCATCCAGCACCTCCCTTCTCCAGCCCTGTGCTGCTCAGAGCCCAGCAGCAGCTGCCCCTGTCCCCCAGAGTTACAGGGGTGGTACCACAGAGAGCCCACAGGGCTGAGCACTCTTCATCTGTGTCCATCCCCTGCAACCACAGAGTCCCTGCTTTGGGTTCTGCTTTTTCAGCACACTGTTGTGTGCTCTTTGGAGCTGATGCTTTGCACACATATTTAAGCTGTCTGGTTATCAATTGCAGCACATCTTGTAAAGCTAAACAAAACCCAAAAGCCTCTCTCTGTGTCACCCCATCTTCCCAGGAGTGACACTGGAGGAGATCTGTTCCATCCTCCTGGGTTTCAGAGAATGGGCTTTTTAAATCTAATCTCACTGTTTCCCAGTTCAGAAAAAAGAAATCTAAACAAAAATTCTTTAATCCTGAGGTTCTCTGACATAACAGGAGCCAGGTTTAAATTTATTGAGCAGAATAGGATGAGGAGAATCTGTGTTAGCTGCTTTCGAGGGGGGCAGGTAGGTCTGTAGTGGAGTGGGAAATAAGTAGTAGCTCTTATCTTGTGTTAGATTCCCCAGGGAAACTGGAGTTGTCAGTAGCAGGAGGGGAATAAGAAACAAGCTAGAAGCAGGAGCAGTGTCTGGGGAAGCTGGGAAAGGAAGCAAGGACAGGGACAGAAAGCCAAGTGATGCACAGAAAGCAAATGAGTGCTCTCTTTCATGAAAGGGCTTTTTATCATGGCAACAAAACTAGATTCTTTCCTCTGGAGTGTAGTAGTTTGCTTAAATCTAAATTTTATGGTCTATTCATCCAGATAAGGATCTACTTGTTTCCTTTTTTTCCTCCTTTATCTCTCGAGTACATTTGCATTTGTGTATGCCAGCTGGTTTTAAAGGTTTTCTAATTACTGTCCACAGAAGTAGTTTGAGAACTGTTAATTACTGCCTTCTTCTGCATGGTAGGTTTCTAATATTCATGATAAAGCAAGAAACTTGTCTCCTTGCCTGGGGTAAAGATGTGATATTAGGACTGTAAAGTCAAGTTACACTGATGCAATTTAAGGGGAAAGTCTGTGTTCTGGGGCTTTTTGT